ATTAAAATAATGAAGATGATAATATCCATGATTAACACCCTCCACAATAAAAATGGTTAATCAACTTCTCATAATTACAAAAAAATGAACAAAATGAAAAATTATGATTGGTTGAATGAGGTTTGCACGGTTTCGACAAATTGGGTGGTTTTTATTTGAACGCTCCCCTATGTATGTGTATATATATATATATATGTGTGTGTGTGTGTGTGTGTGTGTGCATTATTTGTCATCACCCCTTAAGAAGGTTACAGCATCTAAAAATGCTACCACCACAAGGCCGGTGAGCAAAACAGTGAAAACCAAGCAAACTATTATAGCACAAACTTTGATAATTAAATAAAGATAATTAAGTTGTGAAAGAGTAAATTATATCATCATGATACCTGTATAATATTGACTAATTGCTTGATTGCCCATCCAAAGAGAAGCAAAGCAAGTAATGCAGAATATATTATACTTTGTTGTGCAGCACCCATCAAAACCTAAATTTTCATACAAAGAAAACTGTCATCTCTAACTCCAACATATTAAAGAAGAGTACAGAACCAAAAAAAGTTTCAAGGCTTACATCGATCATCTTTTCATTTTCCTTTGCAAGAAGAAACAAAGTTATGTAAAGAACCTGCAGAATCGGAGATTCAGTTCATACGAGTAGACTTTGTGTTGAGAAATCTCTAAATGGTAAAATGAGTAAAAACTTAATATTCACCTCACAAGCTATACAGCAGTACCCCATAAACATCCTGTTTCCATAGTATAACTTAAATAACCAACTGGTGCTGTCTTTCACATCTTTATGATTAGATTTGCCAACCAAGAAAGTACTGCATTCAAAAGGGTGGCCAAAACAGTTGGAGATATCTTGTTCCATACGAGTGACGAAGATTTGAGCTCCAGATCACAATCAGATGACATAAAAGCAATTAAAGGGTGTGTACATACCTGTACATTTGCAACCAATGGCTTGCAATATCCAGTGCAAGCAATGACAGAAAAACAAAGCTAGGCCTGGAAAGTTAAGAAGCCAGGATGTCATACTTATGCCTGGACAAATCTCGTAAGCATAAGCTCACAAATAGAGTAGAATAGAAGATTAAAAAGACCTGTAAACTTGGGAGAGAATAACCAGAAGACATGCAGTGCTTATCCTGAGAGACCAAATTTCAATTATGAATACAAAATACAAGTGATGAACACCAAAGATAAGTTGGGCAGATAGACATGAGAAATGTAAAATAGATCTGAAGATGTCGACTAGAACTTGTTATATCACCTATCTGTAACCATGTCCAGAACAGCTCCGAAGGTTGAAACTACAAGGGTAAAATAAATAAAAAGAATGAATTAGATTGAGAAAGACAAGAAAATCCTAGAAGCACTAATAATGGCTAGAAATCAAAAGGATAAGAGAATGATTTGAAGGTTTCTGATTCATGAGAGTTGGATATTATGACAAACAGGGCAGATACAAAGAACAAATGGAGTAACAGATGAAATTCTTTAATCATGTCTAACAGAACTTGCTCTTGCCACTAGCCAGTGATAGGGACACACTTGAATAGTCCAAACTCAAGGACTCTGTACATTAATTGAATAAAGCTGATTTATGGAGAAGAATGAATTATGACTGTGAGGTGGGGTCAGAAGGGAAGAGAGGGTGTTAGCCAGATGCAAAGAGGGCAACTCAAATACAATAGAAAATTATGATATTGATCTGCTAAACTCATGAACGCAAGATGAATGTCATGAAACCAGATAGCCAGCATGGAGACATATAAGATGGCAGCATACTGAAAGTAGACCTAGACCATTAGCATAATATGGTGTGTTGACTTGTTGATTATATTAATGGTCTAGACCATTAATGTGACAACATACTGAAAGTAGACCTAGACCTATTCATATAATATGCCTTCCAAGTTTTGGGGGGTAAACCTCATATACATGAGAAGCAACCCAAGGATTAAAATGATATTTAGCAAACAGTATAGAGGAACAATGGACCGAGTATCATGTTGATAACAAATAATGAAATACTCCTTACCTTGATTGAATTTGCGGGCAAACCAACCATCCAAGGCATCGCAAACAAAGCTGAAACAGCAAAATTAAACATTTAATATCCTAATTACACCCAGAATCAGTCTATTAAACAACTTCTTTATATTTACTATTTACCTGATGAAATAGAGAATTGAAAAAAGCTCTTTATTGGAAAAGCATATCCCAAAGGCAAAGCAATTCATCAGAACTCTAATGTATCCTGTACATATGTATAATCAGTCAAATCATGACAGAATGGTGTAGATAGAGCACAGCAGCATGAAGAGACTATACAAAGACTAAACAACCTAGCAAGAGACCACTTCAAAAGAAAAGACTATCAAGAGACAACTAATGATCAAGGATAATTCATAGAGATCTGGCTTATTTTGCATATTAATTATAGAATCGACTAAAATGATAATAGAAAACAAAACAAGGTCGTTATAATGAAATAGTAAACAAGTTAGAAGAAACAAAAACAATCAATTAATAACTTGATAAAGAACTTACATGAACACACCAATTATAAATAAACTCAAAATTCAACAAAATATGTGATTTATTGGATGGGTAAAAAGACAAACAAGTGATTATAATAACAAAAGGAATAATAAAGAAGACATTGAGCATAAGAAGTTCTTCAGGGGCTTCCTGATTAAGAAAACAATTACATGTTCTTACGTAGAGATTTACTATATTGTTAGCCGTAGGACACATTTGGGGGTGTTTGGTACACAGGACAGAACATAACAAGCTTGTTCCAGTCCTAGCCCATGGAACAAGATGGAACAATGCTAAATTTTACCAATATACCCTCAAAATACCTAATACACTTCTAAAACATCAGATACACCTCCCCTCCCTCTTCACTTCACCATCGAACTGATTCCCAACCCAGGAAGATCGACCAGCTTCGAGATCAGATACGCCTCCCTCTTCAACTTCCCTAAACAGCTCATTAGGGGTAAATTGGTCATTCCATCGGTCCTCAACTGTCCAGTCCTGTCTCACCAAACGTTATCCTGTCTAGGTACCAGACGCACTCTTAAAGGTAACAAGCCATCAACAGTTGCAACTAAAAAAATATTGAGAAAATCTATGTCCTGTTTCCCCAAAGATCATCTTCTTGACTAGGCTAGCACATTGACAGAACCAACTGAACAAGGATACATTACAATGTATGCAACCTAGGCCGCTTTACAGGTTTACACTTCAGGTCACAAACTCCAAAAGCAAATATATTCATGTTACATTACCGCTAAAAAGGATTTTGACTTGTGAAATAGGATAAATATTTGAGACGTAAGACACGTGCTATTTCGAGTTGATAAATTATTTAATTTATTTATTGAAGCATACTTTGTTTTATGTATGCCATAGAATCCATTGGTTGCATAAGAACTCACCAATGATGTTGGGGATGTAAAGATACACGCTTATTGTTCTAGGTCTTGATTTGGATGCCATCTCTACTTTTCAGCCACAAATCAAGGTTGCTGAAATTCGTTGAACCTCGGAGTATAAACAATCTCAACCTGCACAAACAACCCACTCTTACTACCTATACCAATTTTTACCATCCAATAATCGGAAAAAAAAAAAAAAAAAACCTTTAAATGAGGATTTCACCATCACAGTCAATCATGACAAGTTACGCAATGCTGAAAGAAACAAAATTGCAAAAAAATACACATAGACGTAACAATGGCATAATTTAATGAGTTTGGACCTGCAAGGCACATTATTGTAAGAAAAATCATCTGCTTACTGCACACCAACTATGATCTTAAAATAATATTATTTTCAAAACTCAGAACTTCATTATGAAGTGAATATTTTTATGTTCAACACATGAACTCTTTGAATATGAAAAACATAGAGCATGTCAAATGCATAAAAGAACATCCAAGAGTTCAATTTCATAATCAACTTGATTAAAACTGTTTCTCTACTTAAAGGTTTTGCAAAGAAGTGCTCTTCAGAAAACTATTAATGGTTTTAAAACCCCTCAAGAAACTTATGGTAGCAATAAATTCATCATCTAATTCTTCAGTTTGTGGTTTGCATAAATCTCTTTAAAGAAGGTTTCTTCATAGATAATGTTGAATATATTCTACTTAACTGACATCAAATAGCAACAAACTAGTGTACTGATTACTAGTGGGGACCTAAACACGAACACTAAAAATAAATTGTTCACTCTTACTCCTAGCTGATCGAAGAATTATAGATGGTTCCAAAATACTATAAACTGTCGTCCCAGCATTCCAGGTACCAATTCTGGTGTTCTTTGATTCCACCTTTAGTACCCTGAATACCAATAACTAAATCAACTATAGCTTCTCAAACTACAAATTTCATAGTATCAGAACAGCCGGCTCTAGAGCAGTGCCTTCTCTTCAAAAAAAAACTAGCAGTAATATAAACTGAAAGCACATAGGACACAAGATGGATGAGTAAACTAAAACAAACTCGAACCCCAATATGAATAACCTATCAATGGTATATAACAAACTGCATATCAGGTGGGGGAAGAATGATAGAAAATTTAGTCAACCATCTGGTGAGCTTCATATACTTACTCGAGAAAATGATAAACTCAGGTCAAAGGTATCCCCTTATGGTTTATCTTACATTAGCAGTTACATGTATAAAAATTCATGTAACTGATTGAATCTTTTTCTTTTTTCCACCAAAAATGGTATCCTTCATGACTTTATTCAGAGGAAAAGTACTCATCACGTCACCTTTTTCCATAAAATGAGATCACCACGAGAGACATCTGACACGCAACCAAATCATGAACTTGATACATCACGTCCTATCATATACAACCCCAAGACCCTGAACTGATGAAGTATGACGCTAAACTAACAACTCATGTCCCTGGTTCCACAACCCAAGATTCACAGCTGCACATTGCAGCTAATGCGTATGTAAAGAAACAGTCTAAGCAAAATTGAACATCATACAGTTCATCAACTAATGCCTAACCGTTTATTAATTGCTGGCGAAAATTTATTAAAAAAAAACAAAAACAAAAACAAAACCTCTCCGTTATTGCTGAATTTAGCTGTTTAACTAAGCATAACTGCTACTCTCATAATTTATACACTAACACCAAGCATTACCCCAAATCGGAAACTATTTAAAGAGAGATGAAATGAAATTTCCAGGGTAAAAATAAAGATTCAATCAATATAATACACATATGCAAATAAGTACACATCAATCGACAGAAGAAAATATGGTTACCAAATCTGGCTTAAACTGGATGATGAATCGTCCTTCCGGAATGAAGATCCTTTTACTAACCCTAAACCCTTTCAAGAATTTATTACAGCTATGAGTATCTCAAAATATCATTTTATTTAACAGGATCGAGTATACAAGAGGAAGAACATGGAAGTCGATGGTGGGGAGATACAGATAGATATAGAGAGAGAGCGAGGGAGAGGTGGGTCTGGTTCGGCAATGGCGAATCGAAGATGGCCTCCGTTTAAAGCAAACCTACGCGCGCCCCCGTCTTTCCTTTTTTGCAGAAGTGAATATTTTCATATACACCCCCCCAAAACTAATAAACATTACACTTTCAGTCCATCATAAACAGATTTTTTTTCTAAAATACTTACTTTCCAACGTCTTTGTTTGAGGGGATTTGGATGTGCGTTCAGACTGTTTACTGTATAATTTTATGTCATAGTATTAGGATTGTTTGGTTCGTGGAATTCGAAGAATTTGATGGAATTGGAATGACAAATTTCTTTTACCAGATTCCTTGATGTTTGGTTCCGGATTAAATGTACTGGATTCCATCAAATTCCACGATTAAGGGCTATGATCATTTCTTGGCATATGTGAAGGATTTGAATTGCATTATGCAGCAAATGCTATCATTTGATTTAAAAGGATAAAAATAACTTTTACCAACACCACCACCATCCTCACCATGCCTTGCCCCCAATCTCACCACCCGCACTGTGCGCCAACATCTTTGCCCCCACTGTCGTCGCCACCATCACCATTTCCAATTAAAAGTATTATTCTACTATCCTCCCACCACCACCCCCAGCCCGTTTGCACTTACCCACTCCCAACCAACCTTCATTACTGCCACCACGGTTAAGTTGTTGCCATAACTGCATCGATCCCCATTGTCACCACCTGGCCGCTGTTGTTTGTTGTCATAACCATCACCCACCCCCAATGTCGTCACCGCCACTACTACTACTATCGTCATCATGTCGCCATCACCACCCTACTAATGTCATCGTCCCACACCCCACCCTCCCCTGCCCACCCCTACCACTCGACCTAACCCTTACACCACCATGCCATTATCGTCATCATCGCATCCCCACCCCCAACACACGAAGATTTCAATTCTTTTGTGAATTTCCATCCCAATTCCTACCAATCAAACTCATGGGCAAATTCGATTTCAATTCCTTAAAAGTCAAATCCCTTTAATGGATTCCAATTCCACCCAAATTCCATTTCGTGAAACAAACGTCCCCTTAGTTTTGAGTGTTTAGATAATTAAGTAAGAATTTGTTGCAAAAAAACTCATTATTAAATGTATAATTAATTAATTATTATTGGCTTTAAGCAATTAATTGTTTGATAATATGATTTCATTCTTTATTTTTCAAGCCATAATAATCACTTTGAAACGTATAATCAACCACCCTCAAAATCAATTCAAACCGTGAATCAAACATCATCAAAAAATTTGGTCAAAGAAATATGTTATTCCAATTCCATCAAATTTCGTGAACTAAGCAGACCTTAGGCGGCGTTGGTTCACATTCCATTCCCTTGTTTGGTTCGTTTGACTGCATGGAATTTGAATGTTGAATTCCTTTGACCACATTTCATTCCCTTGTCAAAGGAATTCGTTTGACTGCATGGAATTTGAATGTTGAATTCCTTTCACATACACTTTCTATCAAACTTACACCCTGCATGGAATTTGAATGTTGAATTCATTTGACCACATTCATTCATTTGTTTGGTCCATTCTTTTTACTAGAAGGAATATTTAAATTCCATCAAATTCCATGAATGATATACATGGTATTTTAATGGAATGAAATTTAACATGTTCATAATTCCGAAAATACCCTTTAACCCCCTAAAATATTTCACAACTGACATCTTTTCTTATCGATCTGGAAAAAACTCTCGAGAACATCTCGTCTTCATTTCGTCTTTCATCCAGGTTCGATTTCGTCTTCACCTTAATTTTGAAGATACCCTCTCGTATTCTCCATCAGCCTTCTCTGTGATTTACGGGATTTATTGTTTCGGTTTATACTTCGATTTTAGTTCGATTTTAGTTGGTTCGACTTTTCTTTCATTTATCATTTCAATTTGCTTATGGTTCTATTTGTTTGATGTTGTATGGCTTGATTTATGCTTCACCCTACTCTCTCGATCTATGGTTTTTATTTTCAGATGTTGTATCTGTTTGCTATATTGATTTCCAGATGCTATATCTTTTTTTGCAATTATATTTTAGTCATTTACCATAATTTTATTTTAATTCCAAAGCTACATTATGTGAACCAAATAGACAGACTCCAATTCCTTTAATAGATTCCATTCAAATTCTGTCAACCAAACAGATGGTCAAACTGACAACATTTCATTTCAATTCCTTCAGAATCCAATTCCTTTGACAAATTTCATTTCATCCACAAATATTGTGCGAACCAAACATCACCTTAGTATTTAGTTTTAGAGATGGCAAAAAAACCCCGAAAATGATGGTGAAAACCGAAACTTTCAGGTTAGGTTCGAGGATATTTTAACGGGGACGGAGCGGAGATCGGTGACATATTCGGGGATTTTAATGGGGACCAGGGGGGAGGGGGCGGTGATCACCTGCTGGCCTCGACCCGATATGTATGTATTTTTTTTAATATATATATATATATATATATATATTTAAAAAAATACTAATATTAAAATTTAAAAGACTTTATCTACTTTACCTCAAAAACCCAAGAAAAGCTCATGAAAAAATCTAGTTTATTTGTCTATTGTGAAATCGTGATATTAGTTGTATGATGTTTGAATTTCTCTTTACTTTTATATTGTAATCTAAGATGTTGTTTGTAATTGATTTGATTATATTTGAGATATTTAGACTTGCATTTAAAAAAAAAAACTTTAAAAAATTATAATTTACTTTTATTTGTGAAAATTAACATATTGTATTTTTAATTTCAGATTGGTTCGGGTTTCGGGCATAACCAACAACGAATGGGGAAACCAATGGGAAAGGGGGATTTTTACCCTTAACGGGGATCTGGGAAACTGTGGGGACCCAACGGGGATCCCCGATAAGATTCCCGACGGAGATCGAGGTAATTACGGGAACAATTTTAATTATTGGTTTCGAGGACGGGGATACCAATAACCGGCTCGAACGCAGCTCGAACCCAGCTCGTTGTCATTTCTATTTAGTTTTGTCCAAGTACAACGTCATAAGTGAGTCAAATACAAGCCACATAAAATCTAGAAAGACATTGAAGCGGCTCAATGAGAAACCTAGTTGATTACAGCCAGCAAGTGAACTCTACCAAGCTGAGAAGACTAACAAGTACTTCTCAAGTCGAAGTCGATTATGAAGACTTATCAATCAAGTTCCGCTCACCGACTTCCAACTACTACTTTTCCTTGTACCGATACATCTGCGGTAGACGACCGACAACCCTTCTATGATTTTATTGTTTTTCTCATACCCAACAAGGACATATGAATTCGGGGCAAAGGTGGACCCAATTTTTTTGGTAATGGTGACACAATATAATTACTGTAATTTGAAATTAAATAAAAACTAATTGTTGAATAAAAATTAATATAGCTACGAAATAAATCAGAAAAACCAATCAAACCAGGGTGGGCTCACTGATAGGCTAGAAATCTGATTGGGAAAACAGTTATTTTAATTATAAAAAATATTTCAAAATTTATTCACCGAGACTCTCTTTCTTCAAAATGCATTCTTACCAGTACTTTACACTTTTACTTAGATATGTTTAATAAAAAGTAAAATATATATGATCAATATGCTGACACATTTAAAAATCGTAAATGTTTCCACTATACAGGGATAATAAAATGGCGACACTTGTCACTATATGCACCTGACTAGGCTTGCCCATGATTAAGAGAGGGATAAGTCGTAAGATCAGTCCCCCATAGAGAAATTTAAAGACAAGACTTTTTATAAGTTACTGGTAGTTAAATACAGATAATTTATTATCATAGTTTTGGTTCGTATTATCTTTTATACATTATGTCTTTAGGGTTATTTGACAGTTGCTGAATGGTTTGGTGCGAAATGATTAAGTGGTCAGAATGATTAAGAGCCTCTCATGATATAGTGCAAAATGAAATATAATTATTTAATAATTATTTACAACAAAATTGGAGCGTTGAATGGTTAAGAGGGGCTCAAGATACAAAATCATTCAAAGAGTTTTAAAACCATTAAGATGCAAACTTTTTTATTTGCCAAACAAGATTAATCTCTTAACGATTCAGAGACTATCTCTTTGCACGTTTTAACCATGAGTGCCAAGTGTTGAACGTGGTTTTATACTTGTATAATAATGGACTTAATAGTAAAACATAATACATTTGGGGAGTTTTTGTCAATTTCTTAATCTACAAGGACATATATGAAAATATAGTCCAAATTCTAATCCGGATTTCCCAACTCCCAATGCCTACCTGTTGGTGATTTGGCAGCACATGATAAGCAACTCAACCAAATGACGCGCCAACGAAACAAGACTTTGACCAAATGTTACAAATTAAGTCCTTGAAGTATTCATACTATTCAAAGTTTAGTTCTTCAACTTCTTATTAAAACATTTTCAACAGATTTTTTATAATTTCTCTAAAATGAAGGATCAAAAATCAAAATCTTCATAAAAATACATAACAGATTCAATATTTTATAAAGATAGTTTTTAAGAAGCTGCTGGAACAAAATATTGGCTCAAAATCCTCAACAAATTCTCTTAAATAAGTAAAATGAGATTTTGACAAGTTTTTACTGTAAACAATTATTTAAAATAGAGAAAATAGGAGAGAGTGTGAAAATTTCTCTGAATTTGGAGATCTCTCCAAAAATAATTATCATGAAAGAGAAATAACTTTTTTTTAGTATATTTCACTGGTAAGCAACCTTAAAATAAAATGTTATGAGTGAGAAATAATATTTAATTAAATATTTTAAAAATATAATTAATAAACGAAAGTAAGACAACTCGGAAAAAATGTAGAGCTAATTGTCAAAATACTATTTCGAAATCTAAAAGATATTAAATCTAATTTTTATAAATATTATTTTTAATATTCAGGTACCACTTTACCCGTCCTCATCCTCGGTTTTTAACTTTCTGGGATCCCTGTCCCCATCCCCGACCCCTGATTTTATGGGGAATCCTCATTTCCTATCGGGACAGGTACATTGGATTCCTCAGATGGG